CTCTGTCTGTCAAATAAATAAGTAAAATCTTAAAAAAAATAAAAATCATTGTGAGTCTGTGAAATATTCTTTTATCCCGACATTACAGAAGAGATGGATGTCCAGGTGAGACAATCAGTCCAAGGTCACGGTGGTAAGGCTGACATTCAGACCTGGCCTTCTGGTTTTACCTTAACACCAAGGGGCTTTGTATTGTTAGTTACAACACCATTCATTCCCTCGCCATAAATCAAGCGGATGATCCTCAAAGGAAAGGACCCACTTCATCCAACTCTGTGCTCTCATGAGAGCCTAGCAGTACTCCTAACTCATGTTCATGGATTCAAGCCTCAGATCAGAGACCATTTTTCTTGACAGCGTCTACCCCTGTGGAAGCAACCACTCACTCCTCCTTGCCCTCCGTATGCTTCTCCTGCAGGATATGCAAGCCCTACCCGCAGGGGCTGCGACTGCCATGTGCAATCCCAGAACACAGGAGGCCCTTCACGAATGTTCACCGAATGAAATGTTTATGTGTGAGACAGTGCAGTTTCTCGACAGGGTTGCTAGACCTTACTAAAAGAAAAGAAAAGAAAAGAAAAGAACAGGACCTCGTTTTCAGCTTTAGCACATACTGAGGCAAATTATTTTAAGGAAGCGTGACAGAGGGGAAATGGAGAAGAACGGAGAGCGCAGGTCTCAGCTCTCTGAGCCATATCCACTTCACTTGCTGCCCTGGGTATAGCGTTCTAGAGCTTCCAAATCATTCAATACAAATTATGACTCTGGGGTAGAGCCCAAGATTCTGCATTAGCAAGCTCCCAAGAGATGTCAAGGACTCTAAGTCTCCAGACCACACATCTGAGTAGCAAAAAGTTCTAGACAGTTACGGTGAAAGTCTGCCCATTTAGAGAGATATAACACATAGATTAAAATAGTGAGACATAAATTCAGAGAGTGTTAACGCTAGTTATCTCTGGGTTTCTCCTTTCCACTTTTCTATAATTTCCCAGAATTTTATCATGATTCTTGCTGATGGAAATAAAATTTTAAATCCTATATATACAATTGCACTTAAAAACTGTACATTTGGACATTTCCACTCTGCACGGCTATATCTTTATTTAAGCCACAAATATACTTAAAAGGACTAGCTAGACTGGGGAGAGAACAGGTTGGTGAATTAGCAATTCCCTATCTCCTCATTTTAACACTTAGATTAACATAAAACAGCAATGATCCTTAAAAAACAGTCACCACCGGGAGCATTGTTTTTCTCAGGTCCCTTTCCCCTTAAGAGAAAGAGAAAGAATCCATTCAGCTGGAAGACAATAAAAGGCAAGCCAAATTAAGGACAGAAAGAAAAACTAGCAGGCGCGACATACTCAATCTTTCCAAGTGGGTCAATGGAACAGCATCAAAGTCCAAACAGAGGTGGAAATAGGGATCCCCCAGAAGAGGCAGGGCGGGCTGGGTTCTACTACGAGGCTCAGAGGAATCATTTAAAGTAGCACTCACTGTGCACCTGCCAGTGAGGTGGAAAGAAATGGTCCCCAGAGGAGCCCCACTTCCACAGTGTAACAAGGCAGTGTCATTAGGAAAAGGCAATGAGAGGGTGCCCCTTTGGAGGAAAACTTTCCCCAATACCCATCTCCTTCTCTTGTCTAAGAGTCTCAGTGCTGGCCAGGGTATATTCTGTGAGTCGTAAAAGTGCAGCCAGGGGTGGGAGGTACATTTCACACACCTACCCCAAGACTTAAAACAATTCAGACATTTGCCCAGTCATGGGTGTCTGTGACTCGGGGTAAGGCCAAAACTGAAGGAGAAGACCCAACGCCCAGCACCCACAAGGTTCTGCCTCCTCTACTTTCCAATTTCTTCCAACTTTCAGGGAGGACTATCCCATCGCAAGCGTCAGGTATTAGTACCACAATTCCACCCACGGCCCCGACAGACTTTGTGCCTTCCAGAAATACCGTGAAATTCACTGTGACATTACCTATAGGGATGGGAACCGAGTGTCCAAAAGGCTCATCGAGACAGTGGAACCAAAAATCACTTCTGCATGTCTACACAGAACCATTCAGGAGGCCTTTTCACACCGGGGAAGTTTCGACCCTGGGCTCAGCCTAAAATAGCGTGTCACTGTATCTCTACTGAATTCTGTGAGTCCAGTGCTGGTCTACCCAAGGCGAGTAGGCAGAAGCAGAGTGATTTAAAACTGCAATCACTTGAGATTCCAAAACTGACATCAGAGTCATCATCTTGATAGGGGAAATCTGAATTTATTTAAACTTACATTTATTTATTGATATTCAGTAAGGCAAATTCCTTATTTCTTAGAGATGCATGCTGAAGTATTCCAGGGCAAAATGTCATGATATCTAGAACTTATTGTTAAATGGTTCAGTGGAAGATAACCTATGAAAATTCATACAGATGAAGTACATAGGGAAGAATGTTAGTAATTATTAAAGTTAGGGACGCCTCAGTGGCTCAGCTGGGTTAAGCGTCTGCCTTCAGCTCAGGATCCTGGGACTGAGCCCCACGCTGGGCTCCCCGCTCACCAGGACGCCTGCTTCTCCCTCTCCTCCCCACCTGTCTGGGGTCTCCCCCCACTGTCTCTGTCTCAAATAAATAAAATCTTTTAAAAATTATTATTATTATTATTAATAAAATTAGATGGAGTTTCCATGGATGTTCATTGTGGTATCCGTTCTAATTTTTTCTATATTTGAAAACTTTTAAAAGTTTAAATTTATGTCAGTCCATAATGAGCACTGGGTACTATATAAGGCTGATGAATTGCTGACCTCTACCTCTAAAACCAATAATATATTATATGCTAATCAATTGAATTTAAATTTTAAAAATGAAAAATAAAAATTAATAAATTTATATATCAAAAATATTTATGACCTTACAGTTTTATCTCCCTTGTCCAATTATTGTCCTACCACCTTACACTATGGTCCATCTAGAGTAAATAATTTTCTTGAGAAGACATTTTCTCAAGCCTTCCCACTCTCTGTACCTTTGTGTATTACAGTCTCTCCACCTGGCATTTTCTTTCGCAGGTCACTGTGCCTCTGGTCAGAGCAGATTTAATCCTTTTACGTCAATCTGAAATGCTGCCTTTCCCAGGAAAACGTTCCCAACCACGACCACCACCCCCACGCCCCGCACCTTTACACATCACCGTTTCCTGACTCCTCACCACATTTGGCACAGTCTATCCTGCGTGGTCGAACTTGAAGCTGACATTGACCAACAGCTCCCCATGTGGGAAGCCCTGCTCTCCACACACCCATATACATTCTTTCATCTACTCACTTTATTCCTACCCCAGCGAGGCAGGAATTGCTACTACCCTTTTCTCACAGGTGCCAAAACGGGGGTCTGAGAGGCTGCATGACTTGTACAAGTCACAAGGGTAGTAACGGGCAGTGGCAGGCTTCATTCAGACGTAGGCCTCTCTGCTTCCAAACTCTCAAACACTATGGCGTGTGTCATTTGCCCAGTGACTGGATCCTTCCCAGCCACACTCTAACAACTTAATAGCAGGAAGAGCATCTGATTTGTTTATTCACTTAACAGACAAAACTAGTGGAAAACCACCGCCGTCTGCAACAGTGATGGGACACAGCATGGAGCAAAAAAGGGCAGTTTTTGATCCAGGTACAAACTAGAAAATCTGAACACACTATAGACTTTGATCTCGTTGCTACCTGCTGATTCATTGTAACAAATGTCCCGTAGTAATATAAGATGTTAACAATGGAGAAATGGGGTGAGAGGGTACTGAACTGGGTACTATCTTCTTCATTTTTCTGTAAAACTAAAAATATTCTAAAAAATAAGGTCTATTTCAGGGGCACCTGGGTGGCTCAGTGGGTTAAGCCTCTGCCTTCGGCTCAGGTCATGATCTCATGGTCTTGGGATTGAGCCCTCCATCGGTTCTCTGCTCAGAGGGGAGCCTGCTTCCCCCCTCTCCCTCTGCCTGCCTCTCTGCCTGCTTGTGATCTCTCTCGCTCTGTCAAATAAATAAATAACACCTTTAAAAAAATAATAATAATAAGGTCTATTTTAAAAATGGAAAAAAAGAGGATGACCATGAGGTTGGTTTTCTGGATTGGCACATAAACTGCCAAAGAGTGGTCCAGCCCTCTTCGGCACAGGGAAGGCATGCAAGGGGTCTATTTGGGGAGTGACGTGGAACTAGAATGTCTGACTAAGTGTGTGGCGTGAATCTCATGCATTTATATCCCTCTCCTCACACAACCCCAACACGTTTCAGGCTCCAAGTTCTCCAGCTTAATCCACGACATTTTATTCATTCCCAGGAAGAGATTTACCACATCTCCTCCTTCTCTAAATCAATTCAAAGTTCTTCAAGTCTCAGAAAGACTCTAAGAAGTTTAAAAAAAAATTTTTTTTTGAAGCATTGATACTGGGGCGCCTGGGTGGCTCAGTGGGTTGGAGCCTCTGCCTTCAGCTTGGGTCATGATCCTAGCGTCCTGGGATCGAGCCCCGCATCGGGCTCTCTGCTCAGCTGGGAGCCTGCTTCCTCCTCTCTCTCTCTGCCTGTCTCTCAGCCTGCTTGTGATCTCTGTCCGTCAAATGAATAAATAAAAAATTTTAAAAAATAAAAAAAATAAAAATAAAAATAAAGCATTGATACTTATTTTCTTAAAAAAAAAAAAAATCACAGAGTCCTAATTCCCAAGTTCAAACCCAGGACTTCAAGCATCTATCTGCACATTAACACACTCAACCATCCCACACATGGTTCTTTCCTAATGACAGGAAGTCTGCCTTTCTCCGTCCAGGCACCTCTCCCCACTCTGAGAGCTGACTCTCTCCACTGCATTTATGAGATCTGCTGGATTCTCACACAGAAAGACCTTCCTGAGTAGAGCCAGCCTAATAAGTCACCATGAGTAACAGTAACTCTCTGTGAGATCACCCTCCTGGAAAACTACAGAAGAGCGTCTCAGACGTGCAAATATTTAACAGACACTGTCCGACACTACTAAGCACAATGGTAAGTAACAGCATTAAGAGTATTTTACTATCTGTGGTGCATTTTATAATTTAGCCTTGTAAAAGTACTGTGCTATGGCTGGGAAAGACAGCACCGTTTTCTAGATGAGGAAAATCGAAGCTTATAATTGAAGTCAGAACTCCTTCAAACCTACCACTGATCTGTTCCACTCGGGATCCTTCCAGGCCTGGCTCAGTGCCAGCTGTGTTTTTACTCTCTGCAACCAGAGAGACAGGACCTCTCCTGCCTTGTAATTTTCCACAGTAGTCTCCGCATCCTGTAGGCAGTCTGTCTTTCTCTGCAGGCCATTATCTACTCATGCATCCAACCTTCCAGCAGAATTATATAAACCAACTCAGGATGAGGGCACTGCCTCCCTCATGTCTCTCCCTCCCAAGTGTTAACACAATGCCTCACACAGTGGGGGCTCCCCAAATCCAGTGGCCCATGACCACATGAGTGATTCTCCACTGCACAGCTTACCCGTGGGCAAAAGCCATGAAACAAAAACATATGCTGTTCTGGTTCTTGAAAACTAATGGGCAAGTTCAAGATGACTTTTTTTCCCTTGACCTTAAAGCACAAGAAATTACATTTATGTTTTACAACATGGCCGATAACCATAAACAGAAAATAGAGTTTTGTTTTCCACGAGTCCTCAGCTGGGCCTCCAACTTGGGGCCAAGAACATTCAGGAATGCGCCACAGGTCTCAGTTTTCATCTAGATTCCAGAAAAGGGGGAGAAGAAAAATTCATTTTACCATCCATATAGCTTGAATTCCTCTTACAGGAACTACACTCAAGAAAATAACACCTAAAACTGGCTAGTGCATATTTTTTTTCCCCACAGACTTCTTGGCCATGTTGACCATTTTTATTAGAGCTTAAGACTCTCAGAACCTAAATCAAATGAAAAGTCAAATATTTACAAAAGGTCAAATCATGAAAAAATAATTCTTCTCTGCCCCCTGTATAAAATAAAAAGCCCCTGACCTTGCACAGAGGTGATTAATTCAGAGTTAACTGTTCCTGCCTCAAAGGAAACCCAGGCTTCTAGAGCACCCGGACATCACAGAAGTTGCTGAAAGAAGCAGTTTACTGAATGGTACTTCTGTGTCTTCTAAGTTTTAATATGTCCAACGGTGGGAAACTAAAACCATCTGGATTAAAGAAGCTAAAATTCAATGCTTGCTTTGTTTTTAACCAGAATAACCAAAATTGAAATATAGCTCACCAAGGTTTTAAATTTCTGCCTCGGTATTTTTCCTTCTGTGTCCAGCTATAAAAGAGACTTTTAAAAAATATAGAAAATAAAATGTTTAATTCTACCATCAGTAACACATATGCTTTTGAGTTTTGTTTTGTTTTTTTTTTAATCAGGAATGAAAGATGGGACGTACAGAGTTATCCAAACCCTTCCCTGTACATCCTAAGGCACATGCTATACACCCAAACAGCACAGAAATAGAATGTCCTCAGACTTCAGTTAATAAATTGCTTCTCTGCCCTCCCAGAAAAGTGATCACAAAATACCAGAGGGGATTTAGGGTGTGTGTGTGTGTGTGTGTGTGTGTGTGTACACATTTGCATGTGCTCCTCTGTGGTGTGTCTGGGTGGGGTTAGGGTGGGGAAGGGCAAGCAAGAGAGAACCAGAACTCATAAAAAGTATCGGGGTATCTCCTAAAACCCAACGTTCCACTCCTTCTTTTGTTTTCCACTCTGTTCTTTGCTTAGCACGTTGACCCACTTAGTAATAGGCTCCCCTATTCCCTGGCTCCTGGTTGGCTCTGCCCAGTGGAGAGGTTCCCACAGGTGGGTGGGCACCCACAGGAGAGCAGAAGGAAGAAGAATGATTCTCTCCCCGCAGGGTCCCGTCAGGTCACAGGTCCTATCGGGTGAACCCCTGCACAGAGCTCTCGGTCTCCCTATAATTGCTCCCACCCTTAACCCCTCAGGTCCCAAGTGGAAGGAGTTTGGCTGCTTCTACCCCCAGAGCCCCACACTATCCTAGTGTTTCCCCTAGACCCTGCCCAAGTTCCCAATCAGAATGTGCCACCTGTTTCCTGATGGGACCCAGACTGATACGGAGACCTAAAACATCTGAATGCTCACCTAAGAAGACAGTGTCCATAATACTACTGCTCTGATCCCATTTTTAAAACAGCCTTATACCATGATGTCAAAGAAGAGTCACTCCACAATATCTTGGCATCTTTTATAGCTAATCGTTTTGGCTGCTGTACTGACATGTTTGTTTGTTTGTTTGAATCCCCAAATTGCATCATAAGCCATAAATTACACAGTAGAGGAAATACCCTTGTACTTAAGTGATCCCTTTAGTGAGCCTTATCGAGGTATAACTGACACACATAACTATAATATATTTAAAGTGTACATCGTGCTGATGTGGTGTACGCATTCACAGTTAAGGAATTCCCCCATCTAGTTAATCACCCTATTCCATCACCTCATATTTATTTCTTTAACCCCTCCCCCTTTCTTTGGTGAGAACATTTCAGTTCTACTCTCTCCACGAATGTCAACTATAGTTCCTGTGTTTTACCCAGATCCTCAGACTTTACACACCTTATGGCTGCAGGTAGGACCTTTTTACCAACTTCTCCCTCGCTCCCTCACTCCCTGCCCCCCCCCCCCCCCCCTGACCCCTTCCCCCCCCTGAGTTTGACTTTAAAAAAAAAAAAAAAAAAAAAAAAAAAACAGATTCCACATGAGTGATATTCTATAATCCATGTCTTTCTCTGTCTCACTGCCCTCAAGGGCCATCCATGTTGTTGCAAATGACAGGACTTCCTTCTTTCTTGCCGCTGACTAATACCCCATTATGGATACTGACATCACATCTTCTTTATCCTTCCACCCATCGAGGGCCATTGGGCTGCTTCCGGGTCTGGGCTGCCGGATCCCTTCAAGATCCTGCTGTCCTTTAGATATGAACCCAGACATGGGGCTGCAGGGTCACGTGATGGTATTTTTACTTCTATTTTTAGTTTTTTGAGGAAACTCCATGCTGCTGTCCATAGTGGCTACACCAATTACATTCCCACCAACAGTGCCCAAAAGTTCTCTTTACTATCTCGTTGGCCTTTATTACCCCTAGTCTTTTTGATAAAATTCATCCTAACAGGTGCGATATCTCATTTTGCTTTTGCTTTGCATATCCCTGATTCCCAGTGATGTGGAGCGGCTTTTCATGTACTTATTGGCCATCTGTGTGTCCTCTTTGGGAAAACATCTATGCAGTTCCTCTGCCCGTTTTTTAATTGGATTGTTCGGTTTGGGGCTATTGAGTCATAGGAGTTCTTTGTATGTTTTGGATAGGAACCTTTTTATCTGAGACGTGATTTGCAAAGATTTTCTCCCATTCAGTAGGCTGCCTTTTCATTTTGTGGACTGCTTCCTTTGCTGCGCAGAAGCTTTTTCGTTCACTGTGGTCCCGCTTGTTTAAGTGATCATTTTAAAAACATAAGTCAGATCAAGTCAGGTCTCTGCTCAAAACCCTGTCATCTCTCTTAGAACTGACTATTTTTAAGTCCTCCTTCTGCCCCGCAGCACCCTTCCTGACCTACCCCTCACTCCACCCCCATATTTGTTTTGCTGCTTCTTGGTATCACTCTTTCCTTTGTTCGCTGTGTTCCTGCCCAGAGGGCAGCCTTACTGTTTCTGGAACACTCCAAGTCGGCTCTTGCCTTTGCCCTTGCAGTTGCCTGCACCTACAAATGCCACCTCCTGGGTCTCCACGTCGCTGCATGTCATGGATTCCTGCTCACCTGTCACCGCCCCAGAGGGCTGTGCTCATCACCACCGCTGAAGCAGCCCTCTCTTGCCTCCAGCGCTCTCTCTCTCTCTCTCTCTCTCTCTCTCTCCCCTTGATTCTTCTTCACTGGGCTTATTACCCTGATACATTGCACATTTATTTGTCTATGGTCCATCTCCTCCCATGAGAACGCCTGGTCCCAGAGAGAGGCCCTGTCGGTAAGGATTATTGCTCACGCTGACTGCCTCCAGCAGTGGGTGACATACAGTCAGCGCTCACTGAATACTGGTTGTATATTTCGGGGATGCCACAGAAGGAATTCTGTATAAATTAAAGGTGAGTTGATGGGAAAACCTGCCATCCTGTTTGAGGTTTCCATACTGTACATTGAAACCCACCAGATACACAGTAAACAAAAAAAAATAGGAATAAATTTAAATGACTGTTTACACCAGGGCAGCACAGATTTTCGATAAAGGAGCAGACCGTAAATAACTTACACTTTGAAGGCCACAGAATCTCAGTCACATGTCCTCAGCCCTGCTGTCACAGCATGGTGGCAGCCAGATACAATACATACATGAATCAGCAGAGCTGTGGTCTAATAATCCTTTACTTATGGCACTGAAAGATGAATTTTATATCCTTTTCAGGTTTCAAAGAATATGCTTCTTTTAATTTTTTTTTCATTGAAACATGTGAAAAATATTCTAGGCTCACGAGCCACATAAAAACAGGTAGGAGGGCAGATCTGGCCTCTGAGCTGTGGTTTGCTGACCCCTGATTTAAATCATTCCTAAGGGTGGCTTTTTTCTACAGATAAAATACATTCTGCTCCATGAATCTGTTGGATATTTGACAATTAATTAAGCATGGAACAATCACATTTGTTAAAGAACAATAAGCCAGATCGAGTTTTTTGGGTGAGTAAACATTACTAAATCCCTCTTCTACTTGACTGTTTTCCTACCCAGATTTGGGTCATCTTGAAGCACAAGCTGTGGTAAGCATTTTTTTCCTCAACTAAGTATCTTCATTTTCCATCCTCATGAAGAAATCTCATCCAGCTTCTTCTTCCTTTACAAGAAGGGGAACTGTCACAGAACGTTAGGATAAAAAGAGGGTAGTTTCCCAGGCTGTGGGGCAAGGCATCTAGAGTCCACAAAATGTTTTATGATTAAGTGTACAATGTGTTGCTTATACTTTGCTTTCAAATACTTTCAAACACACCCCATTGTGTGGGCCCTAGAATGAGAACTATTTGGGTTGCAGGTGCTGCTAGGATCTAGGGTCATCTGTCCCCACGAGCCACAAATTTGCTGAAAAGGCCAGGCCAGAAGATGGCATGACGAAAACACGTGATTTCAACATCTAAAACTAATAATAACACTGCATGATAGCTCACCGGAATTAAAATAAAAACTTAAAAGGAAAAAAGGAAACACACACACAAATATAGTCAATTGAAAATTTTTTAAGAGAAAAAAATTTTTAAAAATAAAAATTTTTAAAGAGATAAAGTAGGTAAAAACATGCTATGTCATGACTGGAAGCAGAAATTTTAAATTTCACTCAATTATCAGGACAATCTCATCTCTCTCACATAATAGCAATATATGAAAACGAGGAATTTGAAGAAGCACTCTTCATACTATCACTTACAAGAGTCGACCTAACATAGGGAAGAGGTATAATTTTAACATCAAACATGTCTCTTTGACCCTAGATACACAGGAGAGAACAGGAACACTTCACTTCAGGTGTCTGGATGTTTTAAATATCCTGATGTCAGGTGTCCCAGAAATCTGATCAAGACAGAATTCAAAAGGAAAGTTCTCCACATTTATGCCCCTCATCTTCTCCAAGCCTAGGAGACATGGAACAAAACCAAACAAAACTCATTATCACCTAATTAATTGCAGACTCTGCTGGCCCTGCCCCTTTGGAAAACAGATCTACCAAACCGTGAAGTGAAAAATTCTAAAGTTCTTTGAAAGACCTCTCGGCTCTGCTTCTTCAAGAATTTGTTTTCTAGCTCCTTCTATAAGTAACAGCAGACTTCAGACTGACTGTGAAAACCAGGGATGAAACTGGGCTTCAGTTAAATTCCAAGCTGCCAGGGACAGGAAGGGACGTGTCTGGAGACCCGGAAATCTCACGTCCATGGTCCAGTTCCCACCAGAAATGGCCCTCCACAGAGCCATCCCATCTCCGAAGGACATTCCGCTGAGCTGGGGCCTAGCCTCCTCAATGAAAGCTGATGCATCACTTCGCAGGAAGAGGTAAGAGAAGTGCCTCTCCTTCATCTCACTCTTCACTCAGTTTCTGAGGGAGATGAAAATGCTGACAAGGCACGCAGCTTCCAACAAAAATGGCCCCAGCAATGAATGACTGTGCCAAGGAATCACCACTGTCATTGCCTGGCAAGCCAGCGAGCGTTCAGACAGACGTTCTTTTGGGAATACCCAGGGTGCCACGAGATCACCCTCTCCCAAACGTCTAGGGAGATGGGGATGCAGACGCTGGGTGAGAGATGAGATCTCCTGGAACAGTCTTGGCTTCTGCTTCTGTTTGTTTGCTAAGGCTGCCGTGACCAACGCCCACAGGCTGTGTGGCTTACACACGGAGACTTCGAAGTCTGAGATGCTGTCAATATCAACGTTTAGCAAAGTTGTTTTTATCTCTCTGCTTGGCTTAAAGATGTTGCCTTCTCGCTGTGTCTTCACATGGTCTTTCCTCTGTCTGGATGAATCCAAATTTCCTCGTCCTATTAGTCCAGCTGGCTAAGGTCCGCCTAAGTGACCTCATTTTAACTTCACTGCCTCTTTCAAGATCCTATCTTCAAATACAGAGCCACATTCTAAGGTCCTGTGGGTTAGGACTTGAACCTGAGATTTAGGAGAGGACACAATCGAGCCCTTGACTCTGTCAGAACAACGGCCGTGGCAAAGCTCTATTTCTGTTTGTTCTTTTTTAAAAAAGTTTTTCTTAAAGACTTTATTTGTTTATTTATTTATTTGCCAGAGAGAAAGAGACAGTGAGAGAGGGAACACAAGCAGAGGGAGAGGACGAAGCAGGCTCCCCACTGAGCAGAGAGCCTGATGAAGGGCTCCATCCCAGGACCCTGGGATCATGACCTGAGCTGAAGGCAGACGCGTAACAACTGAGCCACCCAGGGGCCCCTATTTCTGTTTGTTCTTACTAGTTCCAGAGGCTAGACTTAATCGACAGGAAATTCTCACTTTTTTTCAAAATTAACTACCTTTCCTCATGAAAAATATTGCATTCAACAATGTCCCAACACCATTCTGATTTTGATGATCAAAAAGAGCAACACATAATTTTTAATCCCTTTATGAAATACTTCATTACCTACCAAATCCAGTCATAAAGTAGGGGTAGGGGCATATCCAAAAGATTTCTAAGCACCAGCTGCCAGTCCACATTTAATAAGCAATTTGTATTGCAACAAAGATCCAAACATGGAAAAACTCAGGACATTCACTTAACATTCATCATAATGAAAGGCAAGTGTAAAAAAAAAAAAAATACACATTTTCACTCATTTCACATGTGCCTTTTTACATAGGCATTTTCATCTTTGCATGAAGGATTACCTATTGCTGTGTTCATCTGTACGGCCTGCTCCTGATATAGAAATGGGTTTAAAAAATAACACTGAGATCAAGACTTCTTTTCAAACCAGGTGCATAGTCAGGAATATCATTAGCTACATGTAATACTGTAAAGTCCTATATCTAAAGGATCGCCAAAGCCCTTTTTAAAAGAAATACCAAAACAATATCATTTATATGATTTTAATCTCAATTTAAGACTTTTTTTTTTTAAACATTTTTTTAAAGATTTTATTTATTTATTTGAGAGAGAATGAGTGAGAGAGAACATGAGAAAGGAGAAGGTCAGAGGGAGAAGCAGACTCCCCAAGGAGCTGGGAGCCCCATGCGGGACTCAATCCTGGAAGTCCGAGACCATGACCTGAGCCGAAGGCAGTGGCTCAACCAACTGAGCCACCCAGGTGCCCTCAATTTAAGCCTTCTAACAATTTATGACCTTATAACCTAGTTTTATTGTTCAAGTTTGACTATGTTACTCCTTAAATCCCTAAACGTTTACTGAGATAGTATTATGTAGCAGGAAGCATTCTAGGTGCTGGAGACAGATCATTAAATAAACAAAATTCATGTTGGCAAGGATGTGGAGAAAGGGGAGCCCTCCTACACTGTTGGTGGGAATGCAAGCTGGTGCAGCCACTCTGGAAAACAGTGTGGAGGTTCCCAAAAAAGTTAAAAATAGAGCTACTCTACGACCCAGCAATCATACTATTAGGTATTTACTCCAAAGATACAAATATAGTGATGTGAAGGGGCACGTGCACCTCAATGTTTATAGCAGCAATGTCCACAGTAGTCAAAATATAGCAAGAGTCCAGATGTCCACAGACAGATGAATGGATAAAGAAGATGTGGTGTATACAGACAACGAAATACTACTCAGCCATCAAAAAGAATGAGAGCTTACCATTTGCAATAACATGGATGGAACTAGAGGGTATTTTACCAAGCGAAATACGTCAGATAAAGACAAATACCATATATTTCACTTGTATGTGGAATTTAAGAAACAAAACAGATGAACATAGGGGCAGGGAAGGAAAAGTAAAATAATATGAAAATTGTGAGTACAGAGAGGCAAGAAAGGAAAGAATGAAGGAAAGCAGCTAGGAGATCCCTGGAATAATCCAGACAAGACAGAACGATGGCCTGGGTCAAGATGGCAACAATGGATACGTTCTGAAGGCCAAGTCAAGACGATTTTCCGGTGGACTGGAAAACATGTCTCCATTTCTTCCTTTTCATTGATAATAACTAAGCCCAGCCCAGACCCTCTCCTCATTCCTCGATGGCTGGGAAAGTTAAGAATTGGCTCCTCCTGTCTTCAATGCTCCCCCTCCTCTCTCTCTCTTTTTCCTACAAACTGCAGCAGGACTGGAGTTCAGAACACTCTCCCATCATTGCATCACTTGCCCCGTGGGTCTCCTTCCAGAACACAGACCTGCTCCAAAGCCCTCCTCCTTGTGTGCCTATGACTGCCCAAGACCTCACACCCTCCCATAGCTCCACCTCGGCTCTCCACTGTTCTTAATCTCAAGACGCAGGCCCTTCAAGGTTCAGTGCAGATGCTAGCTCCTTTAAGAAGTCTTCCTGAGACGGTCAAGCTCATACAGACTCCTACCCCCCTCGGGGTTCCTGAGGCATTGACCACCTGTGCCAACTGTTCCCCATCATACTGGCCCAGCTAGACAGTGCATCCCTAGAAAACAGGAGACACGCCACACACTTTTTAGCCCCATGCCACCTACTATATAAAAAGCAGCTGTAATACTTACTGAAAAGAACATCATAGCAAAGAATGAAAGAATAGCTTTTAATTATCATAAATGTATTGCCGACATAATTAAAAAATGAAGCAGTCACATAAAAATCCACATTTCTGCCTTATCTTAAAATAGTGAAACATCAGGCAAGACTGGACCCTCATTCTTGAATAGCCACATGGTAGCTACACCCTTTCCCTCCCCACTTTATACTCTAGTTCATTTGTTTACTTTTCTGTCAGGTCCTGGTAGGTATCTGAGTTTGTAATCCCCATATTAGACACTAGTTACCATGAGTTCTTAAAGTATCAGGTTCTTGTGGGAACTAAGTATTTATTGAAGGTAATATCAGTTTCTCTCATGATATCCAGTGTCATTCGTACTGTTTCAGACTTTTCTATATTATAAACATAATCAATTGCATACAGATAAACACACTATTTCAGAAACTGTCTCCTTAATTTCTCTAAAGATTACAATTCCTAACTATGGTTCAAGTACCTTAAAACATGGGAATTATATTTCCTGACATGACTCAGTATAAGAGGGACAGATATCAGTACACAAACTACACAAAAAGGAAGACAAAAATAAATATTACTGATCCTGATGAGCTACTCATCAAACCATTTTAAGAAAAAGAAGAAGTTAGTAAAATTCTTCTGAATCTAGCAAAAATACAAGGCTTTGCTGATTTTTTAAAAATGAAACATCAGGTATTAGAGACTGAAATACATATGGATAAGTGGTATTACCATGGGTCTATTCTCCAGAGCACCACTGTCTACATTCCTTAAAAAGGGGGGGGGTGTCCTGGGGCGCCCGGGTGGCTCGATGGGTTAAGCCTCTGCCTTCGGCTCAGGTAACGGTCTCAGGGTCCTGGGATGGAGCCCCACATCGAGCTCTCTGCTCAGCAGGGAGCCTGCTTCCCCCGCCTTCGCCTGCCTCTCTGCGTACTTGTGATCTCTGTCAAATAATACATAAAATCTTTTTTTTTTTTTTTTAATGGGGTGCTTGGGCTGCTCAGTCAGTTAAGTAACTGCCTTTGGCTCAGGTCAGGATCTCAAGGTCCTGGGATCAAGCCTCGAGTAAGGCCCCCTGCTCAGCAGGGAGTCTGCTTCTCCCTCTTCCTCTGCCCCTCCTCCCTGCTGGTGTGCTCTTGCTTTCTCTCAAAAAAATAAATAAAAATCTTCATTTAAAAAAAAAAAAACTTAAGGAGTAATTATTATTGGGAGAGTTTAAAGGACTTGTCTCCTTTGACCTGTTTCTAGGGGGTTTAATTAAGAGTAAAGCAAATCGAGACACAGAAGTCCAAAGATACTTAAAAGGCACCCTGGCTTTATCTGTGCATCAGTCATTACTTCTACTCCAACCAGGCCTGCCTTTCTTAGCAAACAGCTTTCCTGATTAGCAATCAGATTTGAGAGACTTTCATGACCACCTCTAGCCTTGTGGTCTGAAAAGCAAACACAGTTCAGTCCAAAGCCCATATTTAAAGCAAACTGAGCATAAAGGTACACTTTCAGACACACTCCAGCAAGATGGGATTCTTTGTCCTTCGAATCACATTTGGTAAATATCTTTCTTCCTCTTGCTCAATTCAATGTTTTAACTAATAAACTTTCAAGGGAATGTCTGCTGGCTTAGCACATACTTAGCCACTTTCCCCACAAAGATCATCTCCTTCCTCGGCATACAAAGAGGACAAGAAAGTCTGACAAACGAGTATTAGAGAAAAATGTGCTGCGTTTTTAAAAACGCTTAGTATGGTTTTATAAACTACATTCAAACACAATGAAGGAAAATGGTCTGTGACCATACTACCTGGTTAGCTCCTGATTCTTTTTTATAAGGAAAGAAGAAGAATAAATGAACCTGACTAGAAAATTCAAATACGGAAAAGAAAGAAAAAGGAAAAATCTTCCAGCATATTAACATTCATATCTATTGAGAGAAAAAGTATATATACCAGCATATATATCTTTTTAAAAAGATTTAGACAAAAGAGAATGGTATTCATATGATTCTGCAAAATGTTTTTTCATTGTAAATAGATACACGAACACATGTATATATAAGTATGTGTAAGTATATACCATTATTACATTATATATTGTATTTTAGATACAAGATAATTTCAAATCAGCACACAGACTCCATTCTATAAACATGTTATATTGTAACTTGTACAAATATCTTGGCATAGTTTTAAGTGAGCCTATTTATGAAATTGCTGGTGGTTTTAAATTTTGAAATATATTGCCAAATTGCTCTTCACTGGTAGCTATTTTGGAAGATAATTTAATCTCAAACAGTAGTCCCCTTTCTGCATGGTTACGGGTACCAAAACTGACCTGCTTTGTTTCAAACTGTATCACAGGTCAGACAACCAACCCATTGCAGACTAAGCCAAGCTCTTCCAGACGACAGAGATTACAAGAACCAAGCTGGAAACATCTTATAGCACAGATGAAGGTTGGGGATCACAGCTTTGTAAAGGTTTTACGTGCCTGACCTTTTACTTCTTTCTACATTCTTTGTCTAAGACACAACCTCAGGAAAAGAAAGGGGCTATGGGTAGGGATTAACTTCTCATAGGTATTTGTCTTAGTCCCTTTGGGCTGCCAAAACAAAATACCACAGACTGGATGGCTTATAAGTAACAGAAATTTCTTTCTCACAGTTCTGGAGGCTGGGAAGTCCCAGAATACGGTGTCAGCACAGTTGCCTTTTAGTTAGGGCCCTCTTCCTGGTTCACAGCTGGCCTTCTCACTGCATCTTCACGTGGCAGAGAGGGATTTCTCTGGAACCTTTTTTGTAAGGCACTAATTCCATTCATGAAGGCTCGACCCTTATGACGCGTACCTCCCAAAGTCAACACCTCTTCACACCATCATCTTTGGAAGTCAGGATTTCAACATATGAATTGTGGGGGGTCATTTAGACCATAGCAGTACTTAACTATGAATACTAGCAGTTGAAAATACCAAGGAAGCAACAGAGAGACTGGAGTCTTAAACCATCAGAGAGTTGAACATTTTTGTTGGTCCCTCACCACTGTCCAACTCTAGGGAGCTCCCATGATAGCTCAAAGCAGCTGGAAGTTCTCAAACAATGAATGCAGAGTGGGGATGCGGGATAGTTAGGAACGTCCACAGTTTTCCCTAATTACCTCCTTCTTTAAGAAACTAGCTGCAAGTGTCTGATCCCCCTCACAACCAGATCCCTCTGGGTAACTCACAGCAAGTTCAGAGTGTGTTGGTGGGCCACATTCCTTGCTATAAAACCTAGGATTTCCCAAAACATGCCCTGAAGAAACAAGGAAGGTCTCAAATACACAACCTAACCCTACACCTAAAGGAGCTAGAGAACGAACAACAAAGCAAGCCTAAACCCATCAGGAGGAGAGAAATAATAAAGATCAGAGCAGAAATCAATGAAATAGAACCCAAAACATGCCCTGAATTTTTATTTCTGCCTCTGAGAGTCTGATTAGATATTTTCCTCAGGTAAAATGGCTTGAAAACACCCACCCACAGACAACTTCCTACCTCCTAATTTATCAAAAATAACAAAATGATATTTCTCCAAATTAATCTGCATCCATATCCATCCCTTGCTCCTTGGAAATTCCAAAGCATTCTACTCATCTGGTTCTCTGGGCCTTTATTATCTCATTAATTATAAAAATAATGAAAGATACATGAAGAAAGAGATACATATATAAAGAGAGTTTCCATAGGTCAATCACTTTTTATAGGCAATGCTTTCATTTATACATGTACACAATGGTGCCTAAGAAAAAAAAAATCATATTCAAATTTAAATGAGGAGATGTGAGACTTCAATAAGACCATTTGATCTCATTGATCCTAAGTTTCTTTATCTATAAGACAGATAAAGAATGCCTCTCTGCCATTGGCCTGCTGCGAGGCTCAAATGAAGCCTTCCACTCCACCCAATCAAAAGCTCTGAAAGCGCTTAAGTACTTAGCATACTGGACACACTTAAAAAAAAAAAAGTTAGCTCTCCCAAAAGGGCTTCCATTCTGGCTGTCTTTCCCCCAGGATATTTCATTTTATTCCCTCCAGCAACTACCAAAGTAACATTCCACATAGGACACTTTCTTTCTTTTTTTTTCTTTTTTTTTTTTTTTAAGATTTTATTTATTTATTTGACAGACAGAGATCACAAGTAGACGGAGAGTCAGGCAGAGAGAGAGAGAGAGAGGGAAGCAGGCTTCTTGCTGAGCAGAGAGCCCAATGCGGGACTCGATCCCAGGACCCTGAGATCATGACCTGAGCTGAAGGCAGCGGCCTAACCCACTGAGCCACCCAGGCGCTCCCCACATAGGACGCTTTCACTGGAATTTAACTGAATCGTTCTGACCTAAGTAGAACTAATTCAGCATTTCATATTACTCATAAATTCATGCCCACTCAAGAGCACCAGTCATTTTGGATCCAATTTGAGAAACACTGAGGGCCCAGCGTCATGGTTCGACTCTCCACTTTTTACTTCTGAGGTGAGCCTTTTGTAAAAATCATTAATATCCTCTTACTTTCTTCGCTACTGTTATTCTTTGACCGGACACCAGAAGTGAACCACGGCATTAACAAACCATCTGCAAACTTACATCTTCAAGAGAATCACCCTTATGAAACCAAACACAGAATAGTTACTAAGATTCTAAAATCTGTCCTCAAAGGGCCTCAGCTGCATGACAATTGCAGGAAAAACCATTTTCTTCTATTCTTAAAACGGATACACTAGCAAATTACACAGAGCAATTTCCTAATGCTAGCTAGACTCATGTTGATACTCATGTTTCAAATAAATTACTGGCTTGGATACTGTCTATATATAAAAACACCCAGCAGACTATTTCTTTTAATGAATGAAGTGGAAGATCAATTCTTATTGGAGCAGATAATAATCAATCTGGCAGATAATAATCAATCCAAAGTTATGAACAGTTACCGTGTCATGAATATAGATCTTATTCAGACCATGTCATCAAATAAAATGTTTTATTCATTACAGGTCAATATAGGACTGAGAAACCACTGCTTGTTCTTATAGTAGTAATTACATTAAAGTAAATAACAATTGATTATAGGTCACTCAAGTATGGTACCTTTGAAGGCTTTTCAAGGAAACTTGATAATTCAGATTATTTCACATAAAAACTAGAAAGACAAGCAAAAAATCAAAAAAGATGTGAGATGCCAAACTCCATTAATATATTTGTCATAAACCTCTCCACTACACATTGACACAAAATGTGGTTTCTCCTAACGAAAGCAAGCTCCGGACACTCTTTTCATTACTGGCTCACTGAATGTGATGAAGTTGATCTGATTTTGCTTCATCGGCAACCAAACGATAATAAAAGTCCAGAGCCTTCGCAGGTGTCACTGTACCATGACTCAAATTTCGTGTATTCAATCATCGTGAACCCCAAACATCATCCAGCACAAGGCTCTCCATAAAGTTAAGAAGTTACTATCACCCAGCCATATTTCGTTTTAGCTCCCTAAGAAAAACAAGACCGAAAACATATTTTCCTAGAACATTTTACATACTACTGGCCTCACAGGGTCCATTCATCATTCTGCAAATAGGTCACAAAGACTTTGAAAAGGCATCAAAGAGAAAGAAAAGTTTTAAAGGAATGGCAGGGTAAAAGAGCCATGATGCCCACCTCCTGAGTCCTAGAGTTGTAAGTGGAAGCTTACCTATGGCTTTCCCTTTTATGTTTTTGTAAAGATTTTATTTATTTATTTATTTGAGAGAAAGAGAGCGGTGCGGGGGTGAGGGGGGAGTGTAGAAGCAGAGGGAGAGGGACAAGCAGACTCCATGCTAAGCACAGAGCCTGAGGCAGGGACTCCATCCCACAACCCTGAGATCATGACTTGAGCCAAAATCAAGAGTCAGATGCTTAACCAACTGAGCAACCCAGATGCCCCTGGCTTTTTCTTTTAAATGAACAATGAAAAGAATAATCCCACGTTGCTCTATGGATGCATTTTTTTTTTAAGATTTTATTTATTTATTTGACTTACAGAGATCACAAGTAGGCAGAGAGGCAGGCAGAGAGAGAGAGGCGGAAGCAGGCTCTCTGCTGAGCAGAGAGCCCGACGCGGGGCTCGATCCCAGGACCCTGGGACCATGACCTGAGCCGAAGGCAGAGGCTTTAACCCACTGAGCCCCCCAGGCGCCCCTATGGATGCATTTTTATGCGGTGACATTATCAGCCAAAGGACAGCCAAAGAAAACAAAGGGGCAGGTGACATGCATGTCTGCTCCCATCATGGTAGTCTACCCAGGCGGAAATAAGAAGCTTGCCAAGAAAGAGCAAGAGGCAGAGAAGCCTTCCTGAACTGAGCCCTCAGGAAACGGGGAAGCATGGCTTGACCATAGACCTGTTCCTAATAGAACTGCAAGAAAACATTCTAGATCTAATTTTGATTTTAATACTCAATTAAAGCCCAGCGGCAGAAGTCAGCTTCCAGCGGTACATGAGAGAAAAGAACTGTCTCTGAATTTCACCGAGACCAAAATTTTATGATTTTTCAAATTAAAAATAAGTTATCCCCCAAACAAAATTATAACTTAATGACAAAACAAAATGGCCAACTAGAATCCAAATGTCACCAAAGAAAGCACTGATTTTTTTTTCCTTCTAAATCACACCTCTTCACGATTTTTACAGAGTTGTAATTAAGGAAGAAATAAAAATTTGCAGTCTTCATACTTCCAATCCAATTATTTTAATGTCTGCACAGTTGCTTATTGAGAACTATACTAACTCAAAGACAAAAAGAGCACGGGTAAATATTTTTAAAAATGCAGGTGGCATTTTAATTGAACTATGAAAAATGTTCAGTTTCTATGAAACATAAAATCGTACTCTGTTACCAAAACCCAAAACATTTTATTTCATAGATTTTCCATTTAATAAAATGTTTTGTGAAATGTATCATTTTATGTAAAAATAGACCCAATTCATATAATCATTAATGAAAATTCTTGAAATTCTTGAGATAATATACCAAACTTGCAAATCCTTCAGTCAATAGTTATTGGTAATGATTAAGACAGAAGTAATGGAAAATTTTAATGTTTTATTCGAATGGATAATGGGCATTAGAATGCTTACCATCTTTATGAAAAACAGAGCATTTTTAAATTTAAAGCAATGCATACAGTATTCTAGAAAATCCATCTAAATTGGTTTCCATTCTCTTCTCCCATTTCAGATTTCCACATTTATCCGAAAGAAAAATAACCAAAGACTAGTACTTCTAAGAGAGTGACTCAAATAGGAATGGAGAGGAAAAGAAGCAAAGATATGATAGTAAAAATAAAGAGAGACATATTGCGACTTAACCCCATTTCTTAGGCAAAACTTTTTCACAAAAAAAAAACCTGCATTGCAAACCTAAGTAAAGTACAATATGGAACAAGCGTAAGGACAGGCACAAATAATCAATGAAACAGAACTGAGGGTTCTGAGAGAAATTCTTACATTTATGGTCAAATGATTTCCTACAAGGTGCTAAAAT